TTCCACCTTCTTTAACTAAATAATTTATTATATATTTGTATTCTATTTGATTATTTTTCTTCTATTTAGGCTGCTTGTGGTGAATTGAAAAATGTGTTAACACTTGTTACAAAACAACAAACACCAACAGATATTGCAACTAAATCTCCTGGTCCTTTTTCTCATGTTAACCTATTTCGTCATACATGAATTCGGATTCATTGTTTTTCCTCTATTGTTAAGGATGACCTTTATTGATGTTTTAATGTCTCAATCATGAAAGAAAATAAATTGTTTTTCTTGATAAACATTTCTGTTAAAAAAAATGAATATGAAATTTAATTTATTCGAAAATCATAAATTACATTGCGATCTATGGAATAATTGCATTTATCATGTACACATTTTGCTAGTCAAAGAAGAGAATTTGAGTTCTTTGTTGAAGTTTGATTCTGATCGTAATAGATGAGAGAATCAAAACAGAGAAAATATTTGATTAGTTAAAACAATTTCCGATCAGAAGAAGTACTTGTCAAATTCTCATTAACAAATGTGGATGAACGATCTCTGGAATACCAAGATACTTCAAAACATTTATGAACAAAACAAGATGTTCCTAAGCTCTGAATGACTAGACATGTATAGGGTACGCTTTTTGAGTACCCTGACTAAGACAGCTTGTCTTGCCTTTACCCTACTCTACCTTGAGAGGACACTTCGAGATTCTTATCATCACTGACATTGCCAACGGCGATAGCCTGTGGAGTAGAACCCGAGCCAGTAGAATATCTCATAGGTACTAGAAACATTTTTTATTCCTATTACCCAAAAAATACAGCGATACCATTAACATTTCCTAATGCCATAGTAGCACCAAGCCACTCATCATTGTTGAAATCACACGCTATCAGATTCCATGGATAAGTTGCAAAGCCGATTTCAAATATCGTTGGATTACTAAACGTTCCGTTGCCATCTCCGAAGCAGATCCCTAAATTGCCATCGAGAAGGAGAGAGAGAAACGGCAATATCCAGTCGACTGTCATTGTTGAAATCACCAACGGCAACTGCATAAGGAAGAGAATCAAAGCTAGTTGAAAGCATTATCTGATTGGCAAAAGTTCTGTTACCGTATTCCAGCAGTACGCGTACACTATTCGTACCATTGTTGGCGACGACAATATCTAATCGTTTGTCATTGTTGAAATCATGAACTGAGAGCGACAATGGACGAGAAGAGACAGTTGAAAATATATTCTCAGTCGCGAAAGTTTCATTATCATAGCCAAGGAAAATACTGATATTATTGTGATCATGATTAGCGATAACAACATCCAACTTATTGTCACTGTTAAAATCACCGACTGCAATTCAGTACGGCAGAGAAGACGCTATTGATGTCGTCGGTTTCTTCGGGAATGCTCTATTTCCGTATTCCAAGAAAATATTTATATTGTTATTTTCACGCTCACCGACAATGATATCCAACTGATTGTCATTATTGAAATCACCAAATACAATTGGCAGCTTACGACCTTCATTACCAATCCAGTCTTTAGTGAGAGATACGAATAGAAAGGGGCACATTGTCT